TTTCTTTCTCATTGGATTTATCATCTGTATATAGTAGGGCTTCTGATTTCTTTGAGTTAATTTTGTATCCTGCTACCTTGTTGAAGGTGTTTGTCAGCCGCAGGAGTTCCCTGGTAGAGTTTTTCAGGTCACTAATGTAGACTATCATGTCATCTGCAAATAGTGAAAGTTAGACTTCTTCCTTTCCAATTTGTATCCCTTTGATCCCCTTTTCTTGTCTTATTGCTCTAGCCAGAACTTCAAGTACAATATTGAAGAGAGATGAAGAGAGTGGACAGCCTTGTCTTGTTCCTGATTTTAGAGGAAACGGTTTGAGTTTCTCTACATTAAGTTGATGTTGGCTATTGGTTTGGTGTATATTGCATTTATCATGTTTAGATATGTTCCTGTTATTCCTGTTCTCTCCAAGATCTTTATCATCATAAAGGGATGTTGGATTTTGTCAAAGGCTTTTTTCAGCATCTAGTGAGATGATCATGTGTTTTTTCTTTTTCAGTTTGTTTATATGGTGGATTACATTGATGGATTTTCGTATGTTGAACCATCCTTGCATCCCTGGGATGAAGCCTACTTGATCATAGTGGATGATTTTTCTAATATGTTCTTGGATTCAATTTTCACCAATATTTTATTGAGTTTTTTAGCATCGATGTTCATGAGGGATATTGGTCTGTAGTTCTCTTTCTTAGTCATATCTTTGTGTGGCTTTGGTATCAAAGTGATTGTAGCCTCGTGGAAAGAGTTTAGCAATATCCCATCTACTTCTATTGTGCGGAGCAGTTTGAGGAGTACTGGAATTAGCTCTTGTTTGAATTTCTGGTAGAATTCTGCAGTGAAGCCATCTGGCCCTGGGCTTTTTTTGGTTGGGACACTTTTGATGACTGCTTCTATTTCATTAGTAGTTACAGGTTGATTTAACTTGTTTATCTGGTCTTGATTTAATTTTGGTAAGTGATATTTATCCAGAAAGCTGTCCATTTCCTTTAGATTTTTGAATGTTATGGAGTACAGGTTTTCAAAGTATGACCTGAAGATTCTCTGGATTTCCTCAGTGTACGTTGTTATATCCCCCTTTTCATTTCTGATTTTGTTGATTAGCATGCTCTCTCTCTGCTTTTAGGTTAGTTTGGCTAGAGGTTTGTCTATCTTATTGATCTTCCCAAAGAACCAACTCTTTGTTTCATTGATTCTTTGTACTGTTTTCCTAGTTTCTACTTTGTTGATTTCAGCTCTCAGGTTGATTATTTACTGGCATCTACTCCTCCTTGGTGTGTTTGCTTCTTTTTGCTCTAAAGCTTTCAGTTGTTCTGTCAATTCTGTAATGTGACTTTTCTCCAGTTTCTTCATGTGGGCACTTAGTGTTATGAACGTCCCTCTTAGCACTGCTTTCAGAGTGTCCCATAAGTTTGGGTATGTTGTGTCTACATTCTCATTAAATTTTAGGAAGTCTTTAATTTCTTTTTTTTTTTTTTACTTCTTCCTCAACCCAGGAATGGTGCAATTGGGTGTTATTCATTTTCCATGAGTATGTAGGTTTTCTGCAATTCGTATTGCTGTTGAATTCCAGCTTTAATGCATGGTGATCTGGTAAGATATAGGGGGTTATTTCAATTCTTTTGTAACTGTGGATGTTTGCTTTCCTGCCAACTATGTAGATACCAGGAACCTTGAAGGACCATCCCGTCTCTTGGCAAGTTCAGTAGTCACTTTCTTTTGTAACGGGCTTGTCCAGTTTGGACATTGTGGTTACTGCAGTTGAGTCCAGGGCAGTTCTTTTCCCAACAGAGTTTCCATTGAGAAGCCGGATGTGATACTGGTTGGTTTGCCTTTATATGTTACATGGTCTTTTTTCTTTGCTGCTCTTAATATTTTCTCTTTATTCTGTAGATTTGGTGTTTTGATTATTATGAGTCAGGGGGACTTCTTTTTGTGGTCCAGTCTGTTTGGTGTCCTGTAAGCTTCTTGTACTTTCATAGGCATATCTTTCTGTAGGTTGGGGAAGTTTTCTTCTAAGATTTTGTTGAACATGTTTTCTGTATCTTTGAGCAGTGTTTCTTCACCTTCTTCTACACCTATTATTCTTAGGTTTGGTCTCTTCACGGTGTCCCATATTTCCTGGATATTTTGTGTTAGGGACTTGTTGGACTTGAGGTTTTCTTTGGTTGATGAATGTATATCCTCTAGCGAGTTTTCAATAGCTGAGATTCTCTCTTCCATCTCTTGAATTCTATTGGTTATACCCACATCTTTAGTTCCTGATCATTTATCCAGCCTTTCCATTTCCAGCATCGCCTCATTCTGTGTTTTCTTTATTGTAGTCTATTTCAGCTTTCAACTGTTTCAAGAACTTCCTTCACTTGTTTTCATGTTTTTTCTTGGTTTGTTTATTTTCTTTAAGAGATTTGTTTATTTCTTGAAATTTTTGGTTTGTCTTTTCCTCCATTTCATGTAATTTTTTGTTTGCTTTTTCTTCTATTTCTTTAAGGGATTTTCTTGTTTCCTCTTTAAAGGTCTCTATCATTTTGCCGAGATAATTTTTGAGGTCCATCTCATCTTAATGCTCTGTGTTGGGTCTTTCAGATTTTTCTGGAGTGGAGTCCCTAGATTCTGGTGGTGTCATATTGGTCTTTCTGTTGTTGAGTGAAATCTTATTCTGTCTTCTTCTATCTTCTTCTAGTGGGTGCAGGTGGGGTCTCTCTATCTCCTCTTGTGACCCAGTGGTGTGTGTGGGCCAGGAATTCAATGTCCACAATTCTGGATGGTCTTGCCTCTCCTGGTAGTCTCCTCACTCGTTGTGGATCGGTTGGCAGAAAGAGATGGAAGAGAGGGTTATTCCAGATTCAGGGAGCTCCTCCTTGTCTGTGCGTGTCTACCCCAAGCAGGCAGGCGCAGTCCCGGGGAGGTCGGGGTGTATGATTGTTTGGGCTGAGGTTGGGTAAGGGCAGAGGCTCACTCACCTCATTCCTGGGTCAGTTGGTGGAAAGGAATGGAAGAGTGGGATGATACCAGATTCAGGGAGTAGGGAGCTCCTCCCTGCCTGGGCATGTCATCCCCAAGCAGTCAGGAGCAGGCTGGGGGGGGTGGTTGGGGTGAGTGATGGTTTGGGCGGGGGGTTGGGTAAGGGCAGAAGCTCACTCACCTCATTCCTTGTTGTCGGAGGAAAGGGATGGAAGAGTGGGGTGCTACCAGATTCAGGGAGCAGGGAGCTCCCCCCTGCCTGGGTGTGTCTACCCCAAACAGGCAGGCACAGGCCCGGGGGGGGGGGAGGGTAGGTGGGAGGTCGGAGTGAATGATGATGGTTTGGGTTGAGGTAGGGTAATGGCAGAGGCTCACTCACCTCATTCCTGGGTTGGTCGGAGGAAAGGGCTTCCATAAACTTTTATAAAATTAATTTTTAATTGACAAAAATAATTATACCTATTAATGGAATGTATGTTATATTTCAACACTTGTCTAAAATTTGTAACTTCCAGACCAAGGCTATTGGAAAATACACTGACATTTACAATTTATTTTTTCTTTCGAAGTCTCAAAATACTCTGTATAGAGCTAGGAACATGGTCTATACCTTAAGCCCTAGCCAATTGAGAGCCTTAGGCAAGAGCAGGAGTTCAAAGCCAGCCTCAGCACCATAGAGACATCCCATCTCTTAAAAATGAAAAAAAAAACAGGAACTGGACAGGAGGCTCAGCAATCAACAGTATATACTGTCTTGCAGAAGACCTCGGTTTATTACATGAGACCACTCAAAATCATCTGCAACTCCAGTCCAGGACATCTGACACCCTCTTCAGCCTCCACAGGCACCTGCACTCACATGGTGAATATACATACATTCAGACTCACATACACACACGTTAAACACATCTGCTCAAGTTCACAGTTGCAGTTCTCTGGGACTTTTGTTGTTTTTGTTTTTGGAATTTGTTTCAACAGTTCTAGCAAGGATGGCTCAGAAGACAGCAAGGTGGGTTCCTGGCCCTTTGAAGAGTTTCTCCACTCACATTTTTGATCAGATACATGGTTACTCCATGTAGTTCCTGCTGTATTTGATGAAATTCAGTATATTTGTTTTCATGGAGTTCAGGGACTGGAAAATAGACCAGAATTTCACTCATAAGTATATGACTTCCGAGAAGAAACTGTCCATGGTTCTCACATTTCCAAATGTCTTTAGCATTTGTGTGATTACCTTTGTTCTGTGTTTACTTTTTTGTGGGTTGTTTGAAGTGTGACCAACCTTGGAAGGCAGAGACATAATATGACCAATGTAGAAAACATGGGGTCCCCAAATTCAGTTGTGGAGATACCACATGGTCCTCTGCTCACAGTCTTGTAGAATGTGCAAAAAAATGCCATCGTCTCCAGAACTAAGGTAGCTTGTAAGTAGAGAATGGTCCCACATCTTTCACAGAGCCCCATAATGGTGGTAATATTGGGGAAAAGAAAATACAGATTTAAAGATGGTAACCAGCATTTAATTGGTTGATCCTTTTCTCGGATTAGCTTTCCAGGATTTTCAGGCTATGGATTGCCACTGCATAAAATTGCTTAGTCAGCTTCTGAGAGCCAGGCCTGGTGCTAAAGTCAAACCAATAAAAGCCACACAACCCTGACTTTCTAAATTAATATGGCTCTGATTAGTTATGCGATGTGGGCATCATCACTAGTATTGGGTGCCCTTTGAGGTCTGTGATGTAGTCCAGTTTCTCTCCATTTTGTCACAGGTCCTTTTATGCCCCTGAGATTGGACTCCTTTGATCCTGCTTGTAGGACTCTAGATTTGCGCTGGCAAAACTATGGTCTTGACTTTTATTTTCTTAAAACCAGAAATGCCTCCACTTTGCCAGTTACGATTTGTTGCTACCACAGAGAAACCATACTCCCCTTGAGCTCCTCTCATTGGATTCTCAAAGAAGAAAGAGCTTCCTGGGGGTCCTAGGACATTGTATCTTTTCTGATACGACATCTATGTGCAATATATGTGTCCATTATATGTTTGCAGCACATGACTTTCAAAAGCAAGAACCCAGTTTTAGTTTATAATGGACACCTGCATGTCAAAGGATGCAAAGAGAAGAAATAGAGTCAAGTTTACATACAGAACAGAGACCAAAGTTTCCATATCCAGGAGTTGGTATAGGTGCCCTGAATCTATGTTGGGACCCTATTGTGAAGGATGGAGTCAAGACATAGAATAGGGGCTGGAGAGATGGCTCAGAGGTTAAGAACATTGAATGCTCTTCCAGAGGACCTGAGTTCAATTCCCAGCAACCACGTGGTGGCTCATGACCATCTATAATGACATCTGGTGCTCTCTTCTGGTGTGCAGGCATACATGGAGGCAGAATGTTATATACATAATAAATAAATAAATAAATATCTTTTAAAAAGTAGAGATAAGACATAGAAATAAAAGTAAAACATAGTGGCTGAATGACTCAGACTGTGTTCCACACAACTCATTCCTGTCATCCAGCATCTCCCCTAGCTGTTCTGAGGAACCAATGAAACCTGCAGGTGGTGTTTCTGGATCTGAGATGAGATTAGAGCTAGAAAACCTATGGACAATTGGATGTTTGCTGTGTTAGGCAACACTGGCATTCATCTCACTGGTGTTTCTATACTGTTGTTTTTCCCCTCTCTTGAGCATGTGAATTATAGGACTCTTATGCCCTCTTCTACTGAGAGTACTGTTTCTTTAAAAAACTATAATGCCTATAAGTTCAGAGGAATGGTAGCTCATTTTCTTCACTGCAATATCTTACATGTTCAGGATCCTGACAAGATATTCTTACATGTGCTAGAGGTTGGTATAAGAACCTCAAAAGGTTTCATTTGGTATGATAGAAGAAACAGACTCTGAGACCTAGAGGCAATGGTGTAGATACTGCAGAGCCCTACCTCTTAGATAGGCATTAAAAGCATCCAATTTTCAGTCATCCTCCCAAGGAGCAGTGTCACTGGAGCCAGTGAGATGTGCTTAAGTCAACTACTAATGTGGTTTCAGAACCTGAGGCTAGCATTGCCTTTCCTGACTTACTTATACTGCAGAGGGCATTATGCAATCATGGGCAAGGCAATCAGAGGGATGATTCATGAGTTGAATGAAGAATAATGAACAAATTAACCACCAATTAAATAGACATTGAATTACTATTTGTGTTTCCAACTAGTTAGTTATTTATTATGGCATGCAGTTGCTGTCTTGGTCACAGCTCTCTTGCTATGAAGAAACAACAGGACTATAATAACTCTTACAAAAATAAAGCACTGAGTTGGGGTTTCCTTATAGTTTCAGAGGTTAGTCCATTATTATCATGGCGCAGAACATGCTAGCACATGGTGCTGGAGAAGTAGCTGAGGGTTTTACATCTGGAGCTTAGGCAGCAGGAAGAAAAAGGCTCTGGGCCTGGTGTGGGCTTTTGAAACCTCAAAGCCAACCCCCTGAGTGACACATTTCCTTCAGCAAGGCCACACTTCCTAATTATTTTCAAATGGTGCTACTCTCTGGTGGCTAAGTATTCAATGTATGATCCCAGGGAAGCATTCATATTCAAACTATCACAGTTGTCCACAACCATAAGTTAAGCAACAAATGAACATGTAATAACCATTTCTATCTCTACATTCTTCTTTTATGAAATAGAAAATGCTTTGTAAGCTGCACAAATTTTTGCAAACTCCTGTGGTCTACTGGTCCTTTCAAAGTTAGAATCCATTTTCGCAGGTGCCTTGCCCTGAGGAAAACTAATGGACATATGCCAATCTAAGACAAGGCTGTATGGTTCCCAGAAGAAGCAGGTTCTCCTCCTGGGTCTATGACCTCATCTGCCATGGACATTTGGCTAGGTTTACAGAGCCAGACATGAATTTAATCCTATTTAGCTTGATTTATGTCCCACTTGAGAGCAGTTGGTTACCACTATTTCACTATATTGGCATTGTACCAATCTAGTCATTGTTGTGGTTCATATGCTTTATTATGGATTAGGTCTACTGATTGTTCCTCTCTAGGCAGCTTGCAAAACATTCCTTGTGAATAGTCTTTCCAGAGAGTTCCTGTTAAATCCCCTTAATTCCTGTGTCAGAAGTATGTAGTACTTTCAGCAGTAGGGCCTTATCTTCAAATACTGATAGAGTTAATGGCAACAGCAATAGCCTATATTGTTTTGGAGCCTTTCTTAAACTCCTCTGGAGAATAGCTTGATAGGATGTTTGACATCCAAAATATTGGGGGTTTTGTTATATGGTTCATGGATCTTGGGCTGATAATCAGCAGCAATAGCACAAAGTTTCTTCATCTTCAACACATTTGTCATTTTGTAATAAGTTATTTACAATCTGTGAGTATGGGATGAGATATGGAGATCATATATCTCAGCATTGCCAGGATTTTTATTTTCTTGGTCTGGGAAGGCCTTGTGCACATAACCATAGCTACTGTGAGTTTATAACTTTGATATAATGTCATATGCCGAATAAAGGATTTCAAAGAATTCCCTCTTATTCTTGACTGTTTCATTCTTTCCACTTTAATCCAAATGTTCCCTAATTTTCTGGAAAGGGTTATTGATAAATATCTTCCATTTAGGGATTAAACATTCAGTATCTTCTTGTCAACACTGTGAACAGTTATGCATCTCTACAGTGACTGCTGCCTACTGCAAAAAGAAGCTTCTTGACCAAAATTGAGTCTATGGGTATAAGCATACATACTTATGAAGATGTTTGACAGCATGATCACTTAACAATATAACAATAGCAGCTTCTAACCTAGAGCTCATGACCCCTCTATCTTCAAGCTATAGACTTTTGACCAGAGTTAGATTAAAGTACCAGGTATGAAATGAAAATTCGAAACTTTTTAAACATTAAAATATTACATATCAAAAGTCAAGAAAACAACTACAACAGTACTTTTTTTAAAAATGCAATATTTGTAGGGCAGTGGTGGCACATGCCTTTAAGACTTCTCAGGAGATAGAGGCAGGTAGATGTCTATGAGTTTAAGGTCAGTCTGGTCTACAGAATGAGTTCCAGAACAGTCACGGCTACACAGAGAAACCCTGTCTTGTAAAACCAAAAGGAAAAAGCAATACGTAATATTTAGCAGCACAATTAAGGACAAAAGGACTAACTATGAGTGATATAAACTGGAGACTATAGACATAGAATACCTAATAATCTTTCAGACAACATCCTGACACCAAAAATGTCCAATGGT